GTATACCACCTGATTTCCCGAATAGAAATCCCTATGTAAAATGTAATAGTAAAAAAGTATAGTAGTAAGGTTTCTGTCTTTCATATTAATTCAAACATTTATTTTTCAATTATTTCTCATCAGTGTAGATTTTTCACGAGCTTATATCAATTATATAACCACTCAAAACTCAGGAGCACTCAACTTCTTGCATTTTCGAGATTGGTGCCGTTTAGCTGTAGGCCACAGCAACCCAACACTTAACGAATACTAGGTTATAATATGAATTCAGTACTTCTGAATTCTCAATCGTCTTCTGAATGATGTTAGTTCATGACGAAGCCTTTATTGAAATGAATGAAATCATGGAAAACTAAAATTATTATTCAGTCACGGGATATTTGTTCACCTATTACTTAGAAATTGTGCAAGATTTATTATTATTCACCAACCAAACTAGACGTACAAATGAAGATAAAACAATCAGACTTTCGTCTTATTCCTATATTTTAATAACTCTTTTTACTTTATCGTCGAAAACCGATAAATACCTGCACATAGCATTTGGTTAACATTCACTGAAGTGAGCATTAGTCAAGGCAAATTATTGCTGCTTAGCAGGTTAACCCAAGAACTCAAGTCACCTGCTGTGATAATTCAACCATAAATCTATATCATTAGCATTCTCATTGACCTACGGATCGATGACAGTTAGAGAACCACGGAAAGCCAGAGAGTACTAGACAGCCATTTTGTTCTAGTTTTGGACTCTTTGGCAGGATGTAATGAGGAACTAACTCGGGATTGATCAACTGGACCACAAGGTTGCAAGGCATGCTTGTCGACTTTTCAGGCACTTAAACAGAATAAGATGGCCGATTAAATCTTACTTCTGAGAAACTAAGTCTTGAAAATTAATCTGATGCTTATCAAAGACTGATTAGAGCACAAAGCTGCCTGGTGTTCCGTTGAGACGTCGTTGCCAGTGGAGTCCACCCGGTCGCGTTTGGCAGCAAATATTCACTGCTGATATTGGCTGGTTGTGGTGCTAAAACCGTGATTTGACAGAAGTAAAGAATTGCCAAGCCATGAAATCCTGTCTCATTGGCCGGTCAACCAGCTCATCTTTTAACCTGAAGGTTCTGATTTCAACTTCTAGTGTGATCATGGATGCCCACTGAGGAAAAGTCCTAAACTAGGACGCAACGGCTGTCCAGTATTCCCTGGTTTTCATTCTTTCTCAAGGTGATTTCAGTTCGTGGTCAAAAGTGAAACAAATCATGTCCCTAAAAAAATTAATTCTTGAGAATATTCTTCTTTTAAAATCGTATTCAGTAAGCAACAAAATGTAACGATCCTCCTTTTCAAAAGGGAAGCTAATGTTTGACTAATTATCAACATTCACTGTTTCAGTTTGCTTCTGGAATTTCAATTGTTTTAGATAAAAACTTGAAATTATTCTGTCTGCATGCTTCCATTCCGGCTCATCTACATAAATAATCGTGGTTTTCTAAAGTCTGGTGACATTTCCCATCAATTTTAGGAAGAATTATTTTTAGTTCATTATGATGCAAAATGTTGTCACGTGCAAAGAAAAACACACAATGTGAACTGATTTCGTCTTACCTGGCCTAGATTTGCTGCAAACCGCAAAACGCCAAGTAGTACCATCATTCCACTAATAAGACTAATACGACTATACATCAGATCTGGATTCGATCTCAAAGTAAATATCTGAAAAAAATGTTATAAATTAAATATTATTAATAAAAAAATTCATAAAATTAGCATCTAAAAAATCCATCTCCTCTCTGTCTCTCTGTCTGTCGCTCCCTCTCACTAGAAGATCGAATAGACAATTATAAGTGAATATCTAGTTTTTGACAGACATTTAAAAGTAGAGACAGTAGACGTTATGATTAGCCCTGAAAAGCAACATCTAATTTTATTGATTTATCATGGAATGTGCAATCGATCTAAACAATTCTGTAATCAAATGAACATGAATGGAATCACTGAACAGATGCTAATATGTACGAGTAACACCAAATAAAATAGATGATTCGTTTTCAACACACATAGTAATTTATAAATCTTAATGTGTGAAAATTATAAGATCAAATGTGAAGCCCTGCTTCAACTTCTGTAGTAGTCTCGTACTTAGAGTACCAGATAATAGGAATAAGAGATGGAGTTGGTTAGTTACAGGACACTTTACACCAGTTTTGAAATCATTCCTGTTATACTTATTATGTCACACCACAAATTCTGAAGAAAACATTTTGACTGAACTGAAGAATTTCTCTTCGGATCAAGCAATTGGTGTTGATCAGTTAACTGACGATGATTAACTATGTTTTAAACATATAACAAGATTAATAACAGTAGAATGAATAAAACTAAAATTTAATTGATTATAATTTCAAATGTTGGTCTGTGGGGATTTAATGTGTTTCAAGATTAAGCACCAACTGACTTTAATTAAAGGGCCATCGAAAACTAGAGGGTAGTGAACAGTTGTTTTGTCCTAGTTTGCGTGTATTCGACATCATGCACACGTGACCCCACCAGGGATCAAAACCATGGTCTTCGGCTCACGAGGTGACCCCTTATGCCATTGAGCCGTTGTGATGGAACCTGGTGGCCGGTCCGTGAATCCAAACTTTGCCCGATTCGCAGTATATAAGGCAAGCATTTATTCACTGGACCAATGGTATACACGCTCACTTTGTAACCTGTAGATCATGGTTTCGATCTCATGGGTGTGTACTACTGAAGAGTCACAAACGAGGACGTAACGGCTGTTGAGCCCATATTGGTTTTCAATAGTACTCCAACAAAAGCCAGTTTGTGACTAGTACTAAGTGGTTACCAGTGAAGTAATACGGGGTATTTTGAAGTCTTATGTCACCTTTTGTATCACAAATAAAAATACCTAACTTCGGTGAGAATGGTTAAGAGGCAAAGTAAACTGACAAAGAGCATAAAACATGAATACATGGCAGAAATTTCATGTCACATTTAGTGACACTCATGTAATAAACAATTGAACAGAACCATTGCAGCATCTTGATGGAGCAGGTAGTAAGACTGAGTTCGTAAAGTATTTTAACATAAAAATATATGTTCTGTATACAAGGACAGAAATTATCTGCCTTCGTGTGAAGTAAACGAGTCACAAAACGGTGGGTAAGTAAAATTCTATCTGTTAAATATCTAAATTCCGAATGTCAGAATTTTCAATGGTTGATTCGTTTCAAAGAGATAAAATAACCTTCTCAACATTCTACATTTACATTTAATACACAAGTGCTGTGAAACAAACAGCCTAGGTCTAACTCTCCTCCGCTAGTCTTTTGCTAGTTAACAGCAAATATGAAATTTCTTTTTCCTCCCCAATATAATCCTTAAACAGTGTTAATGACTATAACTTACAGATGGATGACTCTACTGATGAATGCAAACAAGAAATAATGAGATTACAGTTGGTTTATTTGATGTAATAATAATAATAATGTCTCATATCAGTGGGCGACCATACATTTACTACTATGACGGTGATTCATTAGTAGAATGGTCACCAAACACGCGGAAAATCCGGGTTCTATTTTCAGCAGGTGCACTCCAACTGCCTAATCTTGTCTAGTACACTGGCCGGTAGTAGTCCCTGAGAAGAAGGGGGAATGGAGTGGACCTAGCAACCTCTCCTCCGTGTAATTAATGCCATCACTATCGAAACGTACAGTTTGAAGTCCTGTGCCCCACTTAGAAGGAAAACAATAAAAAAGAAACCAAAAAACACGTTCACTAACCGAATAGTCCTTTGTAAGTATTTTTAGAAACTTTGAGTTATTTTGTGTGAGATGCTGTGTTTCATCTTAAGCGATTGTGTTTTCAGATACAATAAGCAACAGAATTTTAGGATAGTATTTGGAAGAAGCACAACATCTTTATTAAGAATAACTACTTGATTACAAACGTTATACGAGTGGAGATACACGGAAATGGGAACACGAAATGTCAAAAGAAAGCTGACTGTGTAATACAATTAAACGTCACCACTCCCGCCGTCATTTGTAGACGAAGTACTGTTCGGTTTTGTGGCAGTGGAATAGATGAAATAAAGTATAATTATATTTCAATAGTTTACACACAATGATAAGTTTTGTTATTGGTTATTTTGCTCGAAATATTACCAATAACAAAACTTATCATTGTGTGTAAACTCCTGAAATATAATTATACTTTATTTGATAGGAATATGTTTGAAACTGTGTCAAATTTAGCTTTGTTAACTGTAAAAGGTTTGGAAACACATAACTATCACTTTCCTCAATGAATAATTTTAGTTAATAGGCGATAAAATTGCGAAAGAGTTAGGCGTGGTCAGACCAATACATGACACCAGTTCTCAACATCTTTGACTGTTAGTTTCAGCCAAGTAGGGTGGTGTACAACAACTGGCTGATATCATCAAGATGCTAATAATCAGTTACTGGAGACTGTTGATGAAATGCCACAGTAGTGGTGATACATTCGCGGTACATGACCTTCTGGATTCTGAAAATCCTTATTATTCTTGAGTGTATTTGTTCTTTCGCGCGCACGTTTTTTTGCCTACTGCAATTTCAGTGTATTTTTTGACATGATCTTCATGCTTCTCATTGCAAAGTGTGGCGAACTTGAACTGATGCAATTCTGTGCAAACTCTACGCGTGAATATTTGTGATCATATGAAGAGTTATTAGGGAAGATTATTGGTGAATAATAATGCTTCAGTTCATGATAAACAAAATGAATACTGTGATTTGAAGAAATCATAAACTAAAACACCTTAAGCTTTTTTGGTCATCTGAACTGTGCTGCTAAAGATGAAGATGAAACATTTTATAATTATCTTTTGATTATATTAAAAATAACTGTGATAACAAAAAGTGAACAGAGACTGAAATCACAATTACATTTAACGTAATACGTGTAAAAAGATTTTTATTAACACACACAACACACAAATTACTTACATCGTACACCTCAGAATAGAGAATTGCAAATGCAGGCTGTGAGGTTCCACTTACAAGACAACAAAAGCATCCTGCAATTATCAGTGGTATTTCAGGCCTATTGAGCTTTAATAATCTGAATGTGGCTGACTTTTTCAATCTTTTCAGCTGCAAAATGCAAAAAGAAACGGAAGTGCGTATCATTAGGAAGCTAGTGCCAAATAAGAAATTTTTGGTAATAATATATATATATATTTATATATAAAGATGGAGCAGCCACAGACATCATGATTACATAGTTGTATTTATCTTCACTAAAACAGTCATCTATAATGACTTATTGTTTAGGCAGATTTAGATATTTGCAAGTTTCAAAGTATCTCAGTTGTCTTGGTTAATAACGGCTAACATTAAAACCTAGAATGAGAATTTCGTGCTCTTTAGGACTCTCTGCTGCATTCCCAGTGGGTAATGGTATTTGTAAAAATAATTTTAGTCCTCAAAGGAGCAAAATTACTCACTGAGAATGCAGTTGCATCCGGATGACGAGCCTCAAATACAACGAAACGGTAGTCCTGGATTCCAGTAATCCTCACCATCAAACAAAACAACTTCAAGTTAATCCTTAAACATCATCAAAGTGTCCAAATCAGGAACCGGCCTGGCAACAGAGACCGAACATTTCAGTCCAGTAGAATCAATCAAAAGGATATATAAAATAGCCAATGAATAAGTACCTTAGTTATATTGATTCCGGAAAAACTTTGACATTAATAATATGTAAGCTAGTTGTAATCTGTTCAATAAATATAAGATTACTGAAACATGTACACTAATGCTTTGGGAGTGGGTGATTTATCGGTGAAACCCGAATATTTGTGTAGCTTCAACGAAACAGTCTCAGGATGAGACATTATATGAACTATTTCAAGAATATATCTCTCTGACAAGATATGTTACATCCTATCCAGTTGGATGTAAACATTTATCACTTGTAACCAATCACCATGCAGGAAGAAATACATGATGATTTCAAACAACCAACTCAGAAGTATTTAAATTGCCATTCTACTGTAACATTTGAAATGACTAATTACGTGTTTCTAATGACTACTCATATTTTGCTTGTATACCAAATGCAAGTAAAAATTGATATGCATATATCACCGGGCAGATGAAACACTGAATCTTTATTTCTTGAGATCATCAAATGTCATATATTCCAGTAGACTTTCATCATAAGGTACTTTTATCTACTTAAAATATTTTTAAAGCGTACACTACACTTACTTTATTACGTGTCAGCGTAACCACTGAACTGTGCGAGAAGCTTCTACGAGGTAGGCTTCCAGTACTCTCCGACATATTCTATTAAAGTAGAAACAGCACTTCATTTTAAACTCATTAATGAAGGCAGATTAATGCAGTATGTTAAAAATCAATATATATATATATAATCCAATTTTTTTTTTAAAAAAAAAGGTTTTTTGGCATTAGATGATTGGATGCAATCGGCAGGAAGCTTTGGACCTAAGTTTCGTGCTATTTGACACTCGTCAGCAAGACGAACTCGCGTCCCTTCTGAAATTAGAACTCGTGTCACCCTAATCCTATGTCAGTTTGCACTGCTCCTCGAAAGAGCTGGAGGTTCACCACCATGTGTCCCATGTGTCCTTACCATCTGTATCGTATAGTGAAATGGATCAGTGAAGCAGCATACTTAAAATCATAAAAATCAGTTAAACTGCCTCAGCATCTACATTCACTTAGAAAGAGACAATACGTACTGGGGCATATATTCAGTCGATCCTTTCACATATTTATTAAGCTCAAATTATGTTTTAAGTTTATTTATTGTGAACAGTTATATCAAATTAGAAAACTTTATTACATTTACACGTGAATAATTATGAGGATAAGGGTGAATAGGTTTACGACTTAATCAGTTGGAGCACAGACTATGTAAAAAAAATGGTTTAAAGATAACAAATCATAATCTAAAACCTCTCAGTAATTAGACTATCAGAATACGTTGGATAACCGTGGAGTGACTGACCATTGACTAATGCAATGACCTAGTTGGCAACTGTACATCACAGCTCAGCTTGTACAACTTCAGGTTAGGCATCCAGAGGTCAGGAATTCAAAACTTTACGCGGTCAAAATTGTTATTTCACCCTAGAATTATTTTATTCACTACATCAAATATAATCCAGTGTAATCATGCCTGAGAATTCTGATTAAAGTTCTGGACAATATGAGAAATTTTACAATGAGTAAATTTAACATACTACAGGGACAATATAATCAGTGAATGCAATAATTGTAGAACAATAAAAGTGATATGCTAAACTTCATCATTTGAATATAACATAATTAAACTAAATTAAAAATGTCTGGAATATGAATAATGTTAAAGGAGAATTTGTAAAACATTCTGAAGAAAGTATAAGAAATAGATTGGTAGTAGGTAGAGCTGAGAGGAAAAGGAAATCACTAAGGTAGTTTATGGTAAGTACAGCTTTCTAAATTCATTTTCAATTAAATATTTACGATATAATCTGGTTATTCTTAAAATCGAAGTTGAGACTCAAATTCCTCTGTGCAGAATACTTTAAAAAGTAATAAATCTCAGGCACTAGCTTGTAGGGATTTCATTTGTTTCAAGTTTGACTGCGAATTGATATCAGTTAGAATCGGGTTGGAATCCCGATGGATGCGTACTGACGACGAGTCCCGAACTAGGACAAAACGACTGCCAGTTACTCCCTAGTTTTCAATGGCTTTCCAAGTGAAATCAATCTGTAGTCAAACTTCCTAAATCTCAAGTTTATTAAAAATCATCATTGCACGACTATGATAAGTTCTAAGTTGTTTCAAATCTTCTACACCAGCTGCAATATACAAATCCAAATTTATGGCCTATTCAACATTTCATATTCACATATGTATTTCTCATTTGAATGAAGTGAATTAAAGACTTTGTGGCTGTTACTTCACATTATTTCCAGTTACATCTTTTGAAAGTATCATCTACACATGTGAAGTGTGGAGACGTCTATTTTGAGAGATGCAGTTTAATTTTGCATCTTTTAAGGACGCTAGCAATATGTCCATTAGTTCCAGTTCTGCTAGCAATTCAAAGCGTTATATTTTTACTGTACATTTTTCGTGCTAAACATGTTTCAGAGAAAAACTACTCATGCAACCATGACTGTATATGATAGAGTATGTTTAACTAGAACAACTAATCTCCTAAGTGTGGTTGTCTAAAACTTTACTAATAGGTCAATTTTCCTTGATGCAAGGCGCTGAGGCACTTAGGAGTTCACTATGTGTTATTATCTAATAGACGTTATCCCTCATATGTATGATATACAACCAAATGAGCTTGACTCACAAAAACTTTTTCATACCTCGTCAGTGTATTAACAACTTTCTAGAGAATTACTTAATCTTTAATTGGTGGATGGTGACTAGCAGTGGAATCCAGGATGCACATTTCATCCTATTTGGGACTCATCATCTGGATGTACCTGCATTTCCCAGTGAGTGTTGATTTTCCCGCCGAGGCTCAAACCCAGTGCCCATAGTTTCAAACACCAAAGCCGACATGTCAACCTGAGACCAAGCACTTCCGTCCAATCAATCGACGGGAAAATCAAAAATTCAATTAAATTACTTAATCTTATAATTTATGTACCTCAGCCATCCTTGTTCCCACTTTTTGTTTTATCCTAAAAACTTCTGTCTCTTAACGCGTACAAGTGGAGCAATATTTTATATTTCACTAACTTAACATTTCAGTCACTCTATATGCCATAATCGTCCTTAATTATCATTCAGTATTTTATCTCCAATCATCTGTTAAATTTCCTTATTTAGCTTTTTATGTAACTGATAAGTTACCGATGAAGTAGACGATGAATTCGCTTTTCCGCTGCACCGTGTTTTGTGTGATTGCCTTGTTTAAATTCATCAAGAGGAATTCGTGTATGAGACTTCTACCTTTTTTATCTTATCTTAGAAAAACCAAATTTTACTTTTCCTTTCTTGGGGAAATATTCTTGTTTGCTTCTCTTATTACATCAAAAATTATCAATTATAAGTCAATCTGAACGAAGAATATTCTTTTCAATAATTTCTCTCTTCAGGTTCTTACAATTATAAAATATAATATTTGTTGTCGTTACAATAAAGGCCAGTTATGTGGCGGATACATTTTTTAACGTAGAATAACAGATTAGTTATGGGGTGTCAAAATAAATAGTCGTATTTGTGTGACAAACGTGCTAGGCTGAATTCGACTACAAAATATTGTAAAACGGGAGACAATGGTGGTGATTAATCATAATAGATTTGTAGAGTGTGGGGTAGGAAAATTGACAAGTCACTTCAAGGTTATAAAAGGTGTCAGGTGAGTGGCTAGTACAAAGTGGTCTGTGTTAAACAGGAGATAGTAAGACTGCCTACCGTAGCCAAACTTGGATTGATGATTCTTCTTCCCACCAAGAGTGCTCCTTTCCCTTAACCCTCTTGGTTTCTTTTCCTTTGCTTATTATTACAAATATTATTATTACAATTGTTATTAATATTATTATTCGTCATAATTTATGCGCTTCATGCAAACATTCTCTCAAAACTATCGAAGTGATATTATCTCTTTTCTCAATATATGCCCCCACCTGTTTCATTTCACATATTCGTTATTTCATTATGAACCTCTCATTGCAGTTATGTATGTCCAAACCAAGTTCACTTTTAACAGTTTGAAAAAATTTGGGCATTGGGTATATGGTATTCATTATAATAAAGGTTTTTGTATTTCCCAATGAATGAAAAACGAAACGATATTGTTTTTACTGACATTTCGCTATTTAATGCTGATAATAGCTTCATCAAAGTATTATTAAACCGGAATTTACAAAATCTCAGCATATATATAACAAAGAGTTAAGGGGTGAGAAAATAGACTTAGGTCAAGTTAAAAGGACATATTGAAAGTTAAAATACCAATGAAGATCACTAAACCAAATAAGAAAGGACCAGATTGCCGAAAGAAACGTTGGAATTAATCATTTCAATTTCGCTGGGATTTTACAAATATAATTTTATAAATGTCTACTTCTCACTCAGCGCTCAATTATTTTGCAACTATCCGGTCAAATCTTGATCACAGTTCATATGAAGAGAGAAAATAGTACATCTGTTATGGTGTCAAAACAAAGTTTACTAACTTGATCATCGTTCGTTAGTCTGGGGTCATTTTTCTTTGTCAAGTTGGTCATTTGGTAAAGATAAGAAAATCAAGTGTAGATTGTTGGATTTGATCAGTGTGTAAAATTATAAAGACAGTGTGTGTTTACATAGTGAACTTGCCCATCACAGTATTGTTGATTTTGTCACTTCATGGGGGAGGGAGGTGTTGTAATCAGTTTTACTATCTCCTGTTTAACACAGACCACTTTGTACTAGCCACTCACCTGACACCTTTTATAACCTTGAAGTGACTTGTCAATTTTCCTACCCCACACTCTACAAATCTATTATGATTAATCACCACCATAGTATCCCCCTTTTTATAATATTTTGTAATCGAATTCAGCCTAGCACGTTTGTCACACAAATACGACTATTTATTTTGACACCCCATAACTAATCTGTTATTCTACGTTAAAAAATGTATCCGCCGCATAACTGGCCTTTATTGTAACGACAACAAATATTATATTTTATAATTGTAAGAACCTGAAGAGAAATTATTGAAAAGAATATTCTTCGTTCATATTGACTTTTAATTCATAATATGGGAATATTCCACACTATCAAATCAAAAATTATCATTCAGAGAAAAATGAGCAGCTTATCTACTAAGCTGCTTTTCTTTTAAGAACAACAAAGTTCAGCCAAGAGTCTCTTTTCGGCGAATTCATTCACTTAGCTGTACAACCCCATTCATATATAATTATTCTGTGTGTGTGTGTACATTAGGATTATCAAACAAAAATAAAATGAAATTAGTTAAGTTACTGTTTACGTCATCAAAATGTTTCTAAAATTTAGTGAATAATCAAAACTGTAACTAGAGCGGTGAAGATTGGTAAGTATTCACAGGCGTTACGTAATGTGAAATAGGATGGTAATTCAGACACGTGTCCAAAAAATAATGTAATATTTTATTTTATTTATTTTGATTATAGCTTGAAACCACACAGTATTTTTGGTACAAGTATGGAGTTTTCAGCATATGATATCGGTAGCCCAAATTTTGCAGGCCGACCATAGATATCAGGTGTGCGTCGGCAGGGGGTCGAACCCCGGACCATATGCATAGTCGGCGAGAGTTCTAACCGCTGTGCCACCGACGCACATAAATAAAGGGTAGCTTAATAAGAAGATGTTATCAAGATGTCAGACAAAAATTCAAAAAACCAAACCATTATTAACGAAGTCGTAGAACTTGGAATTATACTTAAGGTAGAAGGAGGGGGTGAAGAAGTTTCTTCTGTGTGCATAAATCAGGGTTTTCTATCCGGATTGCTAAAGCCCCAGCAATGCCAAGTATACGGGAACTTAAAGTTTTCGAGGGCCTTCCTTTGACTTTGTAGATGACTTTGAATGAATCCTGCGTGAATACTGAGTGATCAGTGTTCACTACATGTTCAATTATAACACTCTTTATTGATCTACTGTTACCTTTTCGTAGCCAAGCAGGATGATGTTCTCTGATTCTCTTGGATAAAACATGCATCGAATGACCTATATATCTCGCTCCAAATGAGCAAGTAAATTGATAGATACACATAGAAAAGGGTCGAATGCGATAGTTTATCTTCGAAGTTGTTGAAGAACAATGGGCGGCTTGAGACTAACAACCGTAATGTAGCAATGGTGAACGTTCTTTTCAGGGTGTTAGATATTCTTCTCTTTAATATATCGGCCAGAAGGTCGCTTTTGAACGCCTCATTCATTTATAGCATCTTCTTATCTTTTCACTTTTTCACTTATTTTCTAATGCGTGAAATGGATTTGCTAAACAAATCACTTTATGAAGTTATTGTGAGTCAGTGTATCCTGTGCTAACATTTTAATAGTTATCCAGTTGCATATTTTTAGCAATAAATACTTCAGACAATGAATGTAAACTGAACAGAGAACAATTTATTTGATAATTCATGAATTTTTGATCAGATTTTAAGATGACAAGGAGAGTCTGCCATAAGACGGTATTGTTTATATTTTAAGTGATATTTCGATTATTTCATGTCATCGTCAATGATTAGAGATACACAGAGCCTGCTTATAATAAATTTAGAAATATAGCACCGAAAATGACAGTCGGTAGTTACCACAATATAAATTAAGTGAATAACCGATGCTTATAGTTAACTGGTTGCTGTCAATCGACATACCGTCATATTGATTTCATTTAGAAAGTTAGGCTTAAAAATACTAGTCTCAGAATTAGTGTGTTGTTTGACTCATTTATCTAAATAAAGACCAGTGGTAGTGTAAATCAGTGGCAAATAAGACTGAATGATTTGCTGATGGCGGGATGCGACATTCACTTGTTGAACTGCTAGAGTTGAATTCTGTAATGTGACTTATCATTTCAAATGATAACCAGACAAAATCCTGAGGAAATAAGTATCTGAAAGCAAGAATTCGTCAAACTGATGTTTAATAATTTGTAACGTGTTACCGAGTTCGCTATATCTGTTTTGGAGGAAGAAACATCACACATGTAGACGATAACAGCCTGAAGATGAGGATGTTAACTGTGTACCCTAAAGAATTATTTCTAAGTTGAGTTTAAAATTTACATACACCGATTTCACGTACTGACAATAAGATACAGTTGTTATGAGACCTTTTTAGACCAACTACTTTTAAATTATTATGTGGCTGGTCTAGAAAGTGGTCAGCTGAATTCAGTAGTCCGGGATTTCCAATTGGGTAAGCGACTTTTAGACGACACTTCAATTGTTTTTGCTGATACTTGTAATCTGAATGGCATATTAAATTCATTTAAACCCTGGTAACTCACGAAAAATTCCCAGTTGAAATGGTAAACGAATCTAAAATAACTTTTCTTGATGTAGAACCATAATGGAGGAGTCACTGACTCTTACAATTCGTCATGGAACCATCCACTGATAAAGTGCTGCGATCGTGCACCTATTCATTGCAAGACAATTATGATTTAGTCATTCACCACTTTTATTCAACATATGCACAGCTGCGACTCAGTCGAAGGAAAGGTAGACGATCAAAGAAAAGTTTTGGTCAAAAATGGGTATCCATATTGTTTCTTAGATAAAGAGATAATGCTAAACCCTCCAAAATATTTCATTTCTTATGCATCCAAGTAAATGCCGTTTAAGGACCTCATCTTCAAAGGTGAAAAGTTTACCAAAATCCTTGAAAGAATGACCCCTAACTTTATGAAAATGACACTCCTTACAGCAAAGCTGAGAGCAGAGCTTTTTAAGTGACCGGAGAGCAAGATGTCACTGTTAACCAATCATGTACGTATTCCATTTCACCTGTTCTTGTGAAGTTCAGTATACTGGTCGCTTGGCGGGCATTCTGTCAAGAAGGTGCATGAAACCCCCACTTAGTTACGAAGACGAAGAAGTGGATCTGTACTAAGCGCAATAACTGTGAATATTTTGAACGCTAGTCGGTATTACTCATTAGTAACTCCTTCCTTCATGCAAAAATCAGGAAATAACTTGTCATCCCATCTATGTTTAGCCATCTTTTATTATCATTATTATTAAGAAAAAGAGAAACAATGTCCTTGTGTACGGAAAAACTTGTTCAACCACTTATTTTCGTGGCTTTAATCCTCTCGTTTTGGTAAAAAATATCCTTCCACTTATTTCATGAGATGCAACTCCAACGCATTCCAATCTCTTCGCTGTTTTATGTTCACTCTGATAATAATTGATTTATTAAGTATTTTGTCATAATATACAACTTCTTATGTAAAATTATTTTCCACTCAGTATGCCTCCCTTATACTTCTGTTAACACTCACTAATCTCGGTGGCTTCGCATAAATTATCCTTGGTAATATGCATTGTTAATTTGCAATGTTTGTACACACTCATGAAATTGACTATTGATAATAAGGGGAATGATGCGGGTCAGAGAGTGTCTTTGGTGAATTACAGAGCTTCTTAGATAAACAGGACTTGTCTTTTCCCGTCCATCTTTTGATTGATCTCCACTTACCGTGGATATAACAGTGGCCAGAATCTTTCTGACAAAATGCCCTGCATAATCTTATGTGGTAACTTAATTTCGCAGGTTTATGCGGGTAAACTGTTTTATTAGCAACTTGGAGTTTCTTATTGTTTACTTATATTACTTATATAGACGCATATAAATGTAATATGATATTACTTGGGGAAAACTTGGCAAATCGTATGCATACAGTTAAAATTAAGCCTTGTGAATAAATAGTTTCTCCAACTATTCTAGTGAGCTAGCTGAGATTTTTACGCTATAACCTGACTATGAATTAGTTAAATTAACAAATGAGTAAACAGCATAAAATGGATAATAGTAAGGCACTGCATTCAACATAAAATTTGACTATAAGCCTCAGATATTGACATACAACAACTGTAGTAAGCATTAAAAAGACCTACATCACGTTCATCTTCAAGTCTCCAAACATTTTCAGGTGTCTTCGGAAAACCGTTTCCAAGACCGTCGTCTTCAGTATCCTCGGTGTCCTCATTTTCAGCTTTTTCAGATATTCCCTAAATGAAAAGCACACTGATGTTTATTTTCTTTCTAGTTTATGAAATATTCAATTACACGTAAATAAAAATTATGTATACGATCGAAATGCACACACTTTATGGGAAATATTATTTGGATGTCTGATTGATGAAGTAAAATGAGTCGGAAGCCTTGTTGACTAACCCTTGCCAACATCCTCTGTCAAACTAGAAAGCTTCATAGCACGCAGCCATATTGCAGCATTTAGCTTATATCGTATAACTCATCGACATGCTTTATAAACACTAAACTTTTAAATCAGTAATCAATCACTAGGCAACTAACTTCGTATAGTTTCGAAGCAAACTATGAAGCAATATTTACATTTTTTTCCACATTTTAGTTCTGCGAATCCCTTCCTCTTAGACTCTCAAAGTCAGAGTCATTTCAGCTAATATTTTTAAGATAGATAAATTAAGTAGTCTTGCTACAGTATACACATATACCTTATAACTTATGCATTTAAATGATAGAATCATACTAATGAAAATACAGACCTCTTAGCCTTAACTAGTTTGAAAACTGCGAATGATATATATTATCAAAAAAGCTGTCAACTCAAATCTGTTGCCTGTTTTTTTTAATGCAAGTAAAGAATTCACTTATATAACAGTTTCAAATTACCTGATTATTCAGCATTGTAGCATAGAGGCCTTTCTTAGCCACAAGTTCATCATGAGTACCAGATTCACGAACTACTCCTTTATCAAGTACAATTATTAAATTTGCGTTACGAACTGTAGTTAACCGATGAGCGACAACTACACAAGTTCTGCCTGCACTTGCTTTATCCAAAGCTTTTTGAACAATATTTTCTGATTTTGTATCAAGAGCTGATGTTGCCTCATCTAACAACAATAGTTTTGGCTTTCTTATCAATGCTCTGGCTATAGCAATACGTTGTTTTTGACCACCTGACATTCCACCACCTCGTTCACCTACAAAAGTTTCATATGCCTAAAATTAAAATATAATGAATGTTTATCTATTAGTATGGTAAACATTCTGGTCATTCTGTGGACGTAACTTTCATTCTCATGTAACAGTAACAACTTACATCAGGAAGACTTTTTATAAAATCATGAGCATTGGCTAGTTTTGCTGCTTCTTCTATCTCTTCTTGTGTTGCATCCAGTTTTCCTAATCTAATATTATCACTGATAGTTCCTTCATAAAGTATTGGTTCTTGTTGTACACATCCAATCTGATTACGGTAAGCTTTAAGGTCGAGATTCTTTATATTTTCACCTTCAATTAGTACCTGAAAAACAATAAGGGTATGAAACTGTCAGGAGTTTACATCGATTTTTGAACACTATCGTTAACAGTAAACACAGGAACCGAATTCTCAACAGGTTTTCACAACTTTTAACTTACATTCTGGTATTATATTGTTCTAAGGGAAGAAAATAATTAATTCTTTAATTATCCTACAAAAATAATATATTTCAGTTTTGTTTCATTCTAGTCCAGTATTCAACTGCAAGCAGTATTTTGAAATGTGTATGTAATTACTCGAAACAATCAATAACCGTTCTGTATGGTTCAGAGACTCCATGCTTCACCAGTAGCCTTTCCAACAGGCTAAAAACTTTTATCAAGAGCTGTCTGCACTCCATACTGAAGATTAGGTAGCCGATCGGAAATGATCAGAAACAAATGATTCAACCAAGAACGTAGTATCCAACAAATATGCTGAATGAAATGTTGGACATACGCTGAGCAGTTCGTCACATGAAATCAGGCGCCAGGCAAATCCTGGAGTGGAATCTGGATGAGTAATGATGAGTTGGAAGTTAATGTGAGGGCGACATGGAAGAGATCATGTCAGGAAGAGGAAAAAGCTAACAAGAGGTCAGAAAGTCAGCTAAAAGGAACTGCAGTGAGCAGGGTGGAGTGAAAATATGCTTCTAAAGTCTTATACTTAATCTGGAACTCAAGGGCGTAATAATAAAATAAGTCTACTTGCCTTTATAAGGCTGGTAAAAATTAAATCAAATCTTGAATATTTCACTTATTTTTAACTCAAGAACAAAAAAGTCTTAACAGAATACAAAAATTGAAAAAATACGAATAGAACATCAAAGAACTGTTCAATTTTCAATTTTCGCATTATAATAGGGAGACAAATTACTTCAGCCTTAATGCAATACCACTCTCAACAAAACCAGACTGAATACATGCTCACATAAGTAATACCTCATAGAAAATTTTTAAAAAGATTGGTATCGGTAAAACAAAAGAGAATCAGTCATAAAAGACTCAATAATAAATAATTACAAGATGGCAAAGGCCTCATGCATATGAACGTCATTATGATCGATATGAACAGTACTATCTCAGAGTTTAACATGTACTTGGAAAAAGTTTAAGAAATTTTCAACACACACTCAGAGTTTTACTTTTCTTTCAGTTAAAATGATGAAATAATCCTTCCAAAGATTACTACGTTTTTTAAAACTGTAAATATCAGTTTATTAGATTTGAGTACAGCTTATTTAGAATATTTATTAATAATAATTTCAAATTATGGAATGTTTGTTTTTTCATAAACCCAAACTAATTCTTAGAGGAACTTGAAACTAACAACCTACGCGTTAATTAAAGAATCAAGTATGTATTATACATACCTCGCCTTCCACTGGGTCATAAAATCTTTGCAGCATATGAACGATTGTGCTTTTACCGGAACCACTTGGTCCAACAAGTGCCACAGTTTGACCACTTTTGATTGTAAGAGAAAAATTCTTAAGAATCTGCAATGTGAAAGAAAAAATAAATTAAATGCATAAAGAGATCGATGGAAAATTGTATTTTCAAATGCTCTGAGACTACACCTAATTTTTTTCAAAAATCTTGGCGGTGACAGTTTCGGCGGTACATATACTCAGCTGTACTTGTCAGTCTGTCTTAGTTTGTATCTGTCTTATCCTAAAGGCTTGAACAACACTGTTATCACATCATTATATATTACAGTGTTGAAAAAATTCAATATGTGTTCAAACTGAGACAATTTCTGCTTAATAATTTCCATAATTGAACAATACATCACAATATTTTTGAAACTTTTGTATACTGTAGAGTAGATCAATTAATTATAACTATATTTCATACATTTGGTTCCCTTGATAAATTTCGATAAAAAGAAAACTAAATTTGCGGTATAAAATGATATCATTCTGTTTCACAGGTTCTAATCAGCTGCAGACTACCTAAAATTACGATGGTTATATAGATGATAATAATAACATACTTTAATGTTTAAGTGGTAGTAGGGAAGAAATACTAAAAAAGTGACACATCCAAAATGTAAGCATTACAATTTTTAGTTTAAGTTTTCATCATCAATTTATACGCTTTCAAAGTAGAAAAGAGGGGAGAGGGTTAGACAGAAAACAGAAAAAATAAGAAACAGTGTTAGCTCGTAGATTCATATATTATTATTATTGTTCCCTTAGGTTCCTAGTGGAACATAGGGCTTCAACTGCACGTCTCCACTTGCTTCTGTTTTCTGCAGTACTTTTCACCTGCATCCATGTTAGTCCATACTGTTTCATTTCCTCTTCACACGATCTCCTCCATGTCACGCTTCGATGTTCCACTCGCCGCTTCCCTTCCGGGTTCCACTCGAGGGCCTGATGCGCGATGTCACCCAGCGGCCTCCTAAGCGATTGTCCAATCCATCTCCACTTTCTCCTGCATATTTGTTGGGCGATTGGTTCTTGTTTTGTTTCTTCCCATAGTTTCTTGTTGGTTCTTGTTCTTTCCGGCCATCTGATCTTGAGTATAGAGCGAAGACAGCTGTTGATAAAGGTCTGCAACAGGCTGTTGGAAATATTCTTTGTGACCCGCCAAGTTTCTGATCCATCCGTATAGAAGAAATGACTGACTTGACGTTTGTATTGAAAATCCGAATTTTGTTGTTGATGCTGAGTGACGAAGATTTCTAGATTGGTTTCAGGTTGATGAATGTGTTTCTCGCCTTCCCGATTCTCGATTTGACATCCTCGTCCGTTCCTCTTGTAGTTGAGACAATGCTCCCTAGATAAATGAAAGAAGTAACCTCTTCCGAATCCCTCCCATTGATGGTGATTGGCTCTGGATGTTACTGCTGCTCTTGTTGTTGTTGGTTGGTTATTTTCATAACCTCCGTCTTGTCTATGTTCATCTGGAGTCCTGTCTTTGCTGCTTCTTCGACCAGTTTGTCGGTTTTCGCTTGTAAGTCTTCGATTTTGTGTGACACCAAACATAAATCATCCGCGAAATCCAGGTCTTCTAGATTCTTCACGTCTGTCCAGGATATCCCTGTCTCCTCGTTTCCCACTGTCTGACGCATAATCCAGTCCACCACAGTTAAGAATAACATTGGTGATAATAAACACCATTGTCTGCCTCCTGTGTTTACTCCAAACGCCTCACTGAGTTTTCCGTTGTGGATCACATGACATGTGCCGTTGTCGTACAGCTGTTGAATGCGGTTGATGAATATTTGGGGTACGCCGTAGTACTCGAGTGGTTTAAAGATTACTTCGCGGTCAACGATGTCAAAGGCCTTCTCAAACTCTATAAATTTAAGGTAGAAGTTTGATTACAATTCCATGCTTTATTCGATGATGATGCGTAGAGTTGCAATTTGGTCAGAACATGATTTTCCTTTCTTGAATCCAGCTTGTTCTGGCCGGAGTTCTGTATCCAGTGCGTCCTTTATTCTCTCCAGGATGATGCGACTCAGGATTTTACTTGGCGTTGACAGGAGCATGATTCTTCGCCAGTTCTTGCAGAGTCCTAAGTCGCCCTTCTGCGGTAGTTTCACGAGGTAACCTTTCCTCCAGTCAGTAGGCACCTTTCCCTCCTTCCAGACCTTTTGCAATAATAGAGTCAGCATATCTGCTGTCGTTTCTGGGTCCGCTTTCAATGCTTCCGGGGGTATTCCATCTGGTCCAGCTGCTTTTCCAGCTTTCAGAAGTTTGATTGCACTCAAGACTTCAGCTTTCGTTGGAGCATTGGTGTCAACTTGCAGTTTTGTACGCGCTGTTGTTGGTATTTCTGGACGGGTTACAGGTGGTGGTCGTTTCAAGAGTCCTTTGAAGTGGTCCGCCCATTGTTTAATCTGTCTTTCTTCCTTGGTAATTGGGTTCCCTTGGCTGTCTTTTATAGGTTTCACTTGTAGGTTCATATAACAACTCAAAAACCAAAAGTGGTTACAGTTTATAAGATTGAGATTTGTTCAGTGAGTTGAGATCACTGAATTAGATGACTAATTAATGTAATCAAAATTCAGTTACCAAGGCAGTGAAGGATCAATCACACTCTTTCTGTATGCATAAGTCTGGTTTGAATCGTTTGATTGCGATCGCTTCGGCAAATCGTAGTAAATTTGCTGTCATTTATCTATTTAATATTTCGAAGGACTTAGAAATCTCTACGAGATGTCTGGTATCAACATTATGTCTGGTAATTGCACTCTGAGAATATTTGCTTCCTTTCAGGCATAGGTTTCTTGGAATATGTTCAGAAAACCGGATAGAAGCCCTTCTTTCTGTCCTTCCAATGTACTTGCTCCTGCAAGTGCACGTAAATTCCTAAACGCAGTTGGAGGTGACATCAGCAGGGTATTTATCCAGTTTCGAGTGGCTTATAGAAGAAATAGTGCTGTATGACGTTACGACTTTAGCTGCAAGGAAGCTTCTTTTGATTGCACCTTTCGTTCTCTTGTCAGTCTTTTGTGACAGTGCATCTCCCTTGAATGGGAGACAAATAAACACTTATTTCTTTTCTACAGTTGGGTGTTTTTCTTTCTTGTCTTTTTCTCTGCTATACTTTTGCATAAATCCCTTCGGTATCCATTTTCTCTCAGGCACTTCTCGACGAAACCTAATTCTTCTTCGACCTTGTTCGGTGCACATAGCTTCCTTGCTCTCTCGTACAAAGTCTCACTAATCATTATAGCTTATGCAACAAAAGCTGTTGTAGTGAAGATATTTCCCAGTCCAGGTTTCTTTTCTATAGATGGACTTTTCGATCGTACCTTCGTTTTTTCTTTCTGTATTTAGATCCAGGAAATTGATTTCATTATTACTTTCATATTCCATGGTGAATTTGATGTTTGGATGGGTCTCATTTAGGCGATCATATAATACCGGTGCGTGATCCATGTCATTGCAAACAACAAATGTCTCATCAACATATCGGCGATAGTAGGTTGTTTCACTGATAACAGAACTCAACTGTGTCTGTTTGAGGTAGCCTGTGAAATAGAATGATATCATTTTGTAGTGCAAATTTTTTCCTCCTTTCTGTATCGATAATTATATTTCACTGGTTGTTTGCACAATAAATGATACGTTATTTTCGGCTGTGATTATTTAACTAGAAATATTATCAAAACGGACATTGAAAGGAAAATAGAATTACTCTGATATGACACTAGGTGGTAACAAATGTCATGCATCTGGTCTTTCATTTGGTACAGACTGAATTCTATCAGTCAGGTTCAAAATATGGCCAACATTCTAGGTGGTTAGCCATCATGGTGCACAATGAACTGTTGTTAGATGATTGGAAGCAATCGGCATGAATTCTGCGACCTAAGTTCTGTGCTTGTTGGCACTTATCAAGAATATATATATCTGCGGTTTCGTAGGGAGTCATCTCGCTTCTGAGATTCACAAACGGATCAATAAGTATTCAATTAAAGTATTCTTTGTGGTCCTACATGAGGTTGATCACGAATTCGAATGGTTCAGTGTTAACGTATTTGACTGCAGAGCTGAGTGATGTGAGTTCGAATCTCGGAAGAGATTTATATTCCTTCATTATTGCAGATACACCCCGATGACGAATGCCAGCAAGCACGAAATCTAGGTCAAAAGCTACTTGTTGATCACCTTTAACCATCTAACAATAAGTATGATTGACTGACTAGCGTTAAACTGGAAACGGCCTTAAAGATTTGCACCTTCATGTCAAAGAGCATATTATCTGTCTATACCATACTCTTTGATTCGAAATGAAATGGATTCCAGATGTAGCCTATAATGATAAAGTGCCAACAATTCAGGTATTTTTCAAAAGACAGTAATATTTTATACCATTGTTCCTGTCATTGAATCATTATAAGAAGATGCAGAAATAAAATCTGTTTGCGAAAACTATTCTTAAAACTGTAGACATTCATCTGTTGATGATGTCTAACAAACGTCTATACTTAATGCATAATATTATCAATCATAAGAAAATTGACACTAAGAGACTATTTAAAAAAACTTATTGTGAATTGTTTGCTTTACTTGAATGACAAAGTCATAAGAAGTATATTTTCATTTTTCTATAGGATTTATAGAATCCTTTATGCATTTTCGCTTCTAAAAATTTACAGAACACAACAACTTCTAATAGTTTGTATTGATAATAAACGTTATTCCTGTTATAATTCACTGTTATTAAGCCCACTAAAAAGGAAAGAACCAGATATCAAAAATTGTATGTGTATACAGCATGATTACTCACTGTAATATCTGGTCGGCTTGGATATACAAACGAGACATTATTGAATACCACATTTCCAGAAAATTCTGGAATAAGACTTCCAGGACGATTCTTATCAATATTTGGAACCTGAAACGGAATAAAATATTCTGCGTTGATTATTAACTTCATAGTGGATAAACTGAATTATACCTACTTTGGTGCATCAGATCTAAAGTTAATCACACTCAAACTCAAATTTCTTATTCTAGTGTTGATTTGCAGGGATTTGATTGGTTACAGGATTTCATCATGAACTCACATGGGTTATAGAATTATTGTAAAATATAGGAGTACTGGGCAGCCAATTGTTTCGTCCTAACTTGGGACTCTTCATCAGTACGCAGTCACTGGGGCTTGAACTCAATACCTTCCAGTTATAAGGCGGGCTTGTGAACCATTAAGCCACTTGAACCCGTTAGTGGTCGTGTCATATCGTGAATTGGTAGAATTCGGAATTCATGGACCACTAAATCGAGTCCCAGTGGCTTAATTGTCTACAAACGCGCCTTTTAACCAGAAGGTCCTGGGTTAGAGCCCCAGTGGGTGCATACTACTGAAGAGTCTCAAACTAGGACAAAGCAGTTGTCCAGTACTCCCAGTTTTTCCCATGGTTCTCTAACCAGTGTGAATTCCTGATGAAATCCTGGGATCAATCAAATTTGTTAATTAAAAATGCTGAATATTCAATAATATTTTTAGCTAACCCTAAGATTCTTTAAGATGAATTAAATATTAATGCTGAAATTAGACTGATAATGTTGTATATTTTTTTGAAAGTTTTCAGTTACAGAGAAGTCAATAAAAAAATGTTTCAACAAGGAATTTGTTTTGTTCTTTCTTTTGTTTGAAACTGAGACTGCCAGCAGATGTATTTTTCATTTTCCCGCTGACAGGTACATAGTTTGAATAAAAAATTATATTCTAGCTATATTGAAATATAAGAACATTCTTCACTTAGCTTTTTTTCTCATTGTGTTTAGTAGTGTATGATTATAATAATGATAAATGCAAGTTCACTTCAATCAGAAATTAACTTAACCCTTATATAATGAGAACAGCGTCTAAACTACATATTTGTTACATAATTTAACTAAATTTTTTCTACGCTTTGAAGTTTCTGTAGCCATAGAATTGATTTTTTCGGGTAGGGTCGCTAGCCTTATACCCATCAATCCCTCTTTTTCTGGGTTTTAGACCCATTTGTAGTAAACAGTTAAAATAGGCGGGTCGAGAAAGATGGATTAGACACATTCTGTGGTCACCGTTCAGTGATATCACACGTCAGACCCTCGAGTAGAATCTCAGTGGGAAACGACAAGTTGGGCATGAGTCCGAGGGTGACATGGAGTAGATTGTGTGAAAAGGAGTTGAATACTGATGAACCATCCTGGAGCCATATGAAAATGACCGCAAAGAATAGAATGAAATGGAGGAATGCTGTTGAAGTCCTGTGCTCCACTGGGAACCCAAGAGAATAATAATAGAATTGAAACCAAATTACTACAGAAAAGAACTTACGCGTTCGATTGTACCATAAATTTCAACGGCAGACGCTTGAGCATTCATGAAATATTGAAAACTAGGTAAAGCATTGCCAAGAAAGATGCTTCCAAGAAGAACGTTAATAAATATCTGGAAACAAATTAAGTGATATTGAGAATTACTTTGTCAAAAGCTTTTTACGTTTATAAAGACACACAATTAATCTATGTATGTTACCTTAAAACAGTGAATATAATTACTCTCATAATGAAAATAGTGCTGAGAATCTTAGTAATTTTGATTAGGAAACAAGTGAAAGATTCTTAAATAAAATTTGGCATCTTAATGAATATTCCACTTGATTTCGACTGGAATTTAAAAAAAAAGAAAGAAGGAAGAAGAAGGGTAATGGATATCTGTTTTACTCTAGTACTCTAGCGACATGGGAATTAATTTTTTTGATAAGAGAAATTATCTTGATAAGTATATGAAGGGACTTTCACTTAAGTGAAAGATCATCTAAAGAAACCGTGAACCTCCCTTCATCATTTTGATTCACCCTATAAACTTCTGTAATTTAGATTCATCAGGACGAAAACCTACACCTACTTATTGTAAAATGATTGTTAGGCTTTTCTGATAGATAACAGAGGATTTTGCAGTCCTCAGGAAAATTCATTTACAATGTTCTGCGCAATTGAAAGTCAATGGTCCAGCGATAGAATGCTCGCCAACCACACCAAAGGTCCTCTGTTCCATCCCTGGCCGATGCACTCCTAAATCTCGCTAAGTTGGAAATAGTACCGGTAAAAAGGGAAGATCGGGCATGAGGCTAGCAACTTCACCCCATCTAAATAAACACCACTGCTATTGCTCTCGTCTGAAGCTCTATTTTCCGCTGGGAACGAAAAGAAAAGAAATATGCACTTGAAAATGCTCAAATTTATTTCAAAGGCAGCTTCCTTCATCGATAGAAGTCACGTTCAACACAGATAAATAAATATAACACCCATACTTTTTTAAACTGCTAAATAGTTCCATGTTTCTTGTGAAAACATGAACATAAAACATATTTATTCATAAACAGTTAAATAACAAGTGTTCCGAAAAATATCGTAAGAAAAACAGTTGATTGTCTGTTTTTCAGACATCACCTGATGTTAATAATATTTTTATAATATTAACTTCAATTGCCTTCCCATCAGTGATGTTCTAAATTACGAAAATTTTAAAGTCTAAGTTATTTATAAATTATTCTTTCCTAAAAATATTCAGGGAATTCCAAACTGCTATTAAATGTACACACTTTAAGTGGGTTCATTTAAATCGATACTAGATCAACATTATAACAACATGATTCATCTTTGAAATGAAATCGATCTCAGTTATGTCTACTAGACTGTTAACTTACTCTTCCATATGTTAACAACTGCATAATAAAATACTTCATGTCTTACAGTTACAAAATAGATACCCTTGGTAGAATAGTTAAGTAGAAATTTTAGATAACTAATGGTCTTTGGTATTCATATTTTGTTTCATGAGTGTATATTTCTAATGTTTATTAGGAACTTTTTGTTTAAGAAATGCCAGTTCTCTGTCACTATTTGTTACATGTTTACATTTCAAACAAATTTAGGTTAAATTTGCGCTGTACACCATTGAAAGTGGATTTTGTCATGAATGAAATACAGGAAATATTTGTACCCTTACACAGGGTTTCAATAGACTGTATGTACAGACATCAGACTTTGTCCATTTCTTTTCTCCTTTCGAAATAATTTTCAGTTCTTATGTCAGTATTCATGTGTTATTTGTTCATACATTTTTTGATATTCGTTTATAAATGAGATTTAAACACAATAGTTAGACATATAAATTACAGGTGATCTGATAATGCCTAGTTACACTACTTTTTGAACAAAGTTCCTTTAGTCAAATATATTATTATTTTTATTTTACTCCTTTATGTTCCAACCGGAACATAAGGCTTCCAGTTAGAGCTTAGAAGTTTCACTAGCAGCGTTTTTATTTTTACGGGATGGGGTTGCTAGCCTTATGTCCAAACTTCCCTCTTTACCGGCCTTACTGCCGGCTTAGCGAGGTTTAGAAGTGCGTTGACCGGGGATCGAACCCCGGACCTTTGGTGTGGTTGACGAGCGTTCTACTGTTGAACCACTGACGCCATAGTAAAATATGTGCAATTGCAAAAATCTAAGAGTGGTAACCATATCATGTGTAGAAATACATTTTTTTGAATTACACTGTGATACTATGGATTGTTAGATAGTTACAGGCAATCGGTAGGAAGATTTCGACCTTGTTGGCACTCGTCAGCAAGCCGTATCTGCAATCTTGAATGAACTCATATCCCTTCTGAGATTCGAACCCATATCACCCAGTGCTGCAGTCAGAGACATTAACACTGATCTATTCAGAATCACAATTAACCTTCTGTAGGACTTTAATGGATACTTTGATTGGACACTAGATAGAAACTAATGTCCTACGTCAGGTATGAAAACTTGACTGATAGAATTCAGTCTGCACCAAATGAATGACTAGACCCATAACGGCTATTACTACTTAATGTCCAATCAAAGAAATTATGCATCGGTAAACTACCTATATAACTTCGTATCGAAATTATTTAGTCAAAAAAGTTGGAGTTGTTTTATTTGGCTAGCGCATAAGATAACAATAAGTAAAACGATATTCGCAAGAGTGTGGAAAGTTAGAAGTGGAAACTGAAATAACTGTATTAGGTTTACTGACTATCTTAAATCATTATCGATATTTGTCCAAACCTTTGCTTAACATTTGACAAACTTTATTTTCAAAATAAAACTGTGAACAAAACTTCATCTGTTCAAGTCTCAACACTTCTGAAAAAATACATAAAATCATAGAAAAGAAATTTACTGAAACTACAATGGACAAAGGTATATTGGAGAGAGGATAACTGGATGAAGATTGGTGATGATTTAGAGAAACTGAATGATAACAAGGAGTGACAGAGATTTTGAACCAAGACACCGACAGTCTCAAAACATTCATTCTTGTCATCCCGTGGGCAAAATATAGACAATCTGGACCTCACTACTTGACTGAAACCAACCGTCAAAGATTTCATAGATTGACTAATGTCACATTTTTGTCTGACTGAAGCTGACTGTTTTTCAGTCTAGTTTTATGTCACTTAACTTTGATTTTTGAGAATGCTGCTATTTCAACATTTGCAGTACATCTCCTAGCCATCTCAATCGATGCAACCTGGTAAACTTATTGGTTTGCCTGTCTCCTTATCTAACAACTTCAATACAACTTCATTGTTACAGCGAGTATGAGAGGCTGATTGATGGCATACATGGTTGAATCATGCAATATTTAGTACTTCAAAGATTTTTTTCAGATTATTTTTCTTGATGAAACTATTGCATAACACATAAAGACTAGATCATTGCAGTGTATTATTTTTGTTAAATTGTTACATAGGTCTCGGATAGATTGACTTTTAAATTAACTAATTAAAATTTAATATATGCTTATCTGTAGTGTTGGAAAATGTTATTACATTTTTGAAAACCTTAATAAATTCTGTTTAATGGATAGTAACTAGCCGTAGAATCTAGAATGTGTATTTTGTCCTGTTTGTAACTCGTTAGTTAGAGGTACCTGCAATCTCCAGTGGGCGATGGTGTTTCCACCGAGACTCGGACACAGCATCAAAACGTTATCTATTGGGCCACTTAGGCCACAACAGCCTACCCCTTGTATTTAATAAACTTTATTGAAATGAATATCTTCAAATAAATAAATAAACTGAATGATCTTCTTTTTTGTGAAGTGTGAATTCCAGTGTTATCACTTAAGGAAAACAGGGGTTTTTCAGCTTCATCAAAACTGTTCATTTCATAAATATGTATGAAATAAATAAATAAATCTCTCTGTGCTTCTAGAATTTTTGAATGACTGCTTAGATATAATTTATGTTCATATCGTCTCATCTGCTGATTTGATACATAAATATACACCTAATAATCTTATAACAGAATGTCACACACAACCGATAAATAATAGAAACTTTTGACAGATATTCACTTGAGTACATGTGAAATCTTTAGATCCCAAACAAGTTTTATTCATACTGGTTACAGGATTTCATCACAAGCTGACAGCAGTTAGAGAACCATTGGAAAACCAACAGGGAGTACTGGACAGCTGTTTCGTCCTAGTTTGGGACTCTTCATCAGTACGCACCCACCTGTGGGGTTTGAACCCAGGAGCTTTTGCTTAAAATGAGGCGAGCTCGCAGACCATTAAGACACTGGGACCTGATCCAATGGCCAGCCCATGAATTCCAACTTCTGCCAATTCACAACATAGCGTGACCACTAGCCAATTTCTTCGGCGAGTATTTGTCTTCACACCCTATCTTCTGTATCCTACTGATCACGAATTCCCCTTGGAACAACAGGTTACTACCTACCTGAATAGGCTCAGTCGCTAGTGTGCAACTCATTGATATTCAAGTATTGGTTAGTAGGGATTTGATTGACTGCTGAACTATTTATCATTCTTCTTATACATTATTAGAAACAGTAATGAATTCACACAAATTTTCCCAGTTCTAATTGGCAGTGGAAGTTATTTTTACCCATAAAAACATGGATTAGAAGAATCCATATTGATGAGTGCATCGAATCGTCAAGCACCTAAATATCAGAAGAAATTTGCAGGAATTTCTACAGAAATCAAACCAAATAAACAACATAACTTTCCGCACAAGTTCATAGCCCCCATTTACAATCAGCTATTTATTTTCAAAAAATAGAATATACAACATACCAGGATAACTGATCCAGATTTATAATTTTCTTCTATGATTAATTTAATACCATACCAAAATATCAAAGCAGAGGAACAGTATATTGTCAATCCTATTGCACCATTCACTGAAATATAAAACAGAGCATATTATGGATAATTTTACTGAGTTTAGTATACTTTGCTTTAAGGTTGTTGAGCGCATGTTTTTAAAAACTAAAAGTACAAGCAACTTCCAGACTATATTATATTAATTTAAACTCACTCATTATTAACAGAAAGACTAATCTCCATGTGTTACGTATGCCTAGTCATCGCCTTCCTCGACGGGCAATGTTAGCTGATATAGGGTCAGGCTGGAAAAGAGCTAGCGGCGGTCAAACAAAAACATGGTACCAGTCAATGAAATCCACAACAGTTAGTCTAAGCCACGTAGGAAGATGTAGACTTCCTGGTTGGGGTCCTCGGGACGGTAAAAACCAATGGTTGGAAACAATTGGTGACATGGCTCAAAATCGTTCTCAATGGCTGGCGTAGATGCATCCACTCCTTGTGACTTATGATTTCCAGTGAAACTGTTTTGTTCTTCGTTATTACTATACCTTTGTCTCACACCTCTGTTTACTGTCTATATTATGCATTTCTTCTACTTTCTTCTCTTGCTTTGTGTGCTACATGGAGGGAGTGTGGCGACTTGAACTGCAGCACATATGTGCAAAGTTCTATGTCGAAAACCGACCGACCGACCGAATTTCCAAAGACTTTTCCCTAAGTACTTTGAGGTGATCTCAGTTTCCAGCCGACGTACTCCTAAACATCACTTAGTCGGTGGTACATCTTGTAAAGAGGGAAGGTTGGATGTGAAGCTAGCAACCTCACCTCACCAAAAAGCGCTGCACCAACTGAATACTCAGATGGCAGGCAGGAATCCCTAAGTCCTACTCAAACCGTAAAGAAATGAACGAAATCTCCCAGTAATGGATATCACTTTTAGTCGAATTCTTCCAGTCCATAAGTTAAAAACGAAATAGAATAAGGTATTGAAATTTCTTTAATGAAGTATGTAGTTGTAGAAACTAGACTATGTGTCAGTATATTTATCTTTATTTCCATCTGTTATGAATAGATGATATAAAAGATTTAAATAAAACTTCGTGCCGTAATACTGGTTCTATATTAGTACGGATGAGAAACGTTGAAGTAAGACAAAGATGAATGGAAATAAGCATGCAATACTGAGGCATTCGATTGTGAAGTGGTTAAAGATTGTGAACTATGAAATGTTTTATGTCCATATTATAGGCTTCTACTGATTACTTGTAGCACGGCATTCTGACTGGTCTTCAACAGACAGGGGATATTTCAGAAAACAGATGACACCTCTATTCAACTGTAAAATGACCAATAGGATATAAATATTTTTTAAAGGTGGTTAGTATTTCATAAGAAAATTATTTGACGTATGTCAACTTTCGCAACTAAGTGAAGTCATTTTTTGGCGACACTTAATTTTAAAAAATATCTGCTCATTTATTTATTCCAAAAAATATTAACTTTCCTAGAACGAATATGTTAGTTTCAAGAAAAATTCACTATCTATTCTTACCTCCACCAGTTGCCGTTGACTTTCGAATGCTAACTTTTTCAGCCAAACCCAATTGTTCTCTATACCTTTCTGATTCTTTTTTCTCTCCACCGAATGCGACAACAGTCCGTACAGACTCTAATACTTCTCCAGCAATTGAACCTGCGCGAGCATATGCAGCCATTTCTTTGGTTGTGAAATATTTCATGGTAAATCCAAAGCAACCAAAGACAGCAGTAATAATAGGTAACATTGCACATGCAACAAGAGTCAGTTTCCATCCTTCAGCAAAGCTTATTACAATGCCCGCTATGAATCCAGATATATATTTTATAAATTCTCCAAATCTTGGTCCGATCCCAGTTTCAATGAGATCAATATTCTGAGATAGCTTACTGATTAGTGCTCCAGAGGACTGTTCATCAAACCATGGGATATCCTGCCGCAAAATACTCTGAGTAAAATAAAATCAAAAATTTATGATAAAAGGGGAAATGATGGTTGGACCACTTTCTTGAATTTCCATTTCCTCATTTTGTATGAGAAATATTTTAGAGTCTTTCTCGTGCCATATTCCTGTTAGTATTTAAACTACAAATAAGCTGCGAAATTGAGAAATTAATACATATTCATTCCAACAACTTCCTGAATATTCTCAAATGTGTTTGTGGTAGACCAGCCTAAATGTGACGAAATGTATTCTACTACAAAATAAATCGACTACCACTGTAGCATCTCATTAGAACTTAATTTTCCCTGATATGTTTTCCAGTAAAACATGTTACTACCCAAGCTAGTTGAACCTACTCACCAAACTCACGACTTGTTTGATTCTGTGCAGTTATGTGTAAAACATAGCATGTATATATATCGATAATAAACAGAAAGTGACAAAGAAAATGAAACAATTAATTAATTGTGATGTATCACATGAATTTGTTGTCAGTACAAACTAAGGGGTTAATTGGTATTTAGTAAACTGAAATGAAATGAAGTGAATTTTTGATGAAGAGCTTTGCACAAGGGTACAAAGGTTCAATTTGCCACACTTTATTAAGCAAACACAAAGGCAGAGGAAAATGTGAAAAACCGTAATCAACAAAAATCTACGGTATAAAGAATAATCACGATTTTCACCCATGTTGCAAACAGTCTTCAGGCACTGGCTCTTAATATCTCAAGTATCGCGACCAGATAATCTGTATCTCTTTGTGTAGCTTCATCCAAACGTCGAGTGATTCCCCTTCAGCTCACGGTGATCGACGTGTGAGGCAATCTTTAATATGCGTAACACTTGTGCTAGCCATATTAGCCTATGCATCTTCACAACAGCATAGACTGACTTTCCCACTTTTACTTAACATCGCAAACGGCCGCATCTCACAGCTGTAAACGAGGATGGAGACAAACGCTGCGTGGTACTTAGCTCCCTGGTACCATGTCTACTCCAGATTTGGCATAATCTGATGAATTTTTAACAAGCGTTTTGTATGTGGGCTGAGATTTCGTCAGCAACCAGTCTATTAGGGCTGGCGCATTTCTCCAAGGAAGTAAAGTGATCAGCAAACGTGACCATGTCGCTCTCTCCTTAAACTTTTAGTTGGTACAGATCATATACAAAACTTACTGAGATTCATGTCTAAGATGTTACGAAGACTAAGCGTTTTATCAGCTTCTTTACACAGAGGGACTGCATTGTTTATAAACTCTAAGTCAAAAAGACACTTTCCTGGTAACAAATAGTCTCGGTTTCGTCGAAACTGACAAGGATCAAACCCATTAGTACAGCTATTATAAAATCAAACAAGGATGAAGATACTAAGCATCCCTGATGGACGCCATTGGTCGACATTCGTTTTTCTGACAGATATTGTCAAGCACATTTCCGTCGATGGTCATGCTAAGGTTCATAGCCGTATGCAAATTAAATGGAACTTGTTACCAACAAACTTTTGAAAACTAAGCGGGTTTCAAGTATGGATGAGAGTGCATTGGTCATCTATAGACAGAATTGCGGCATTTGTGGTGTGAAAGCAGCCTTCAGCTGTGTCGACTATCATTCTGTGTAACAATTTTTGCCGTTAAATGGAGCACTGGGAGTAAATTATGAAAATTTGCCATCCAGAGTGGCGACAGTACCATCATTAACATTACGTACGCCTTACCATTACTTCTTGACCACAAATGTTAACCAAATGAGAATTGCTACGGAAATGATTAAGAACAGTTCAGACCAAAACAAGACAAAAATGGAAGTCTCAGTATCATAGGGAGAGTCCTGTAGGTGCTAAAATCCAGAGCTTGAAGGGTCTTTGTGAAATGCAATCATTCGATTGGTATATCTGCCTCTTTTGCGTCCTGGGAAGATTCATCATTAGCCGCGAACTATATTTTTCCATAAAAATCTATAGTCACCACAGTGTAAGAATGTGTACATTTATTGGTTGTAGCAACTTATAACGATGTACTTCTTCAGCCAATCCAACAGTTCATACAGTCATCTAATAATAACAGTGGACAACATAAGTGACGAAGACTTTAATTCTTCACACTGAAAGTAGTCGCTAAGGTGCACAGTAAAATTGGTAGTGTGGTGCTTCTAAAACAAAATTCCTATGAGCTTTATGCATGAATGGTAGCATAATGAATGGATACAAATTTTGCACACGTGAACTTCCATTCCATTTAAGGTTACTCTATGAGTTTTTTCACATCTAAGGCTTTTTGTCTCATTCAATATGAATAACGATTCTACTCACATTTCATGAAAAGCACTTGGAAATGTTGACCTTCAGGTTGCTGTCATATTACAAAGCGTATCTGGATTTTAGTAGCAATGAACTATGTTTGTGCAACAGCAGATCATAAATCTGCCGATGAATGCTTAGCAAAGCTGAATGAGTTGAATGATATTCGAATAAACAACTTTAACTTCAGTGTTGAAGTGTTTTTGTTGAAGATACCTTATCCTTTGGTGAATTAAGCGACACAATATTTATCGCTCTGAGTTGATTAATTACTTGATATCTGAGCACAAGCTAACAAAGAAAACACTGTCCACTGCGAGTTTCAATTTTCGGATGAGATAATCAAAAATTGTACTTGTATTGTTTCGTTAACGTCTAAATATACATTCAAGCGGATTAAGGCAAACTCGTTCAAAATGAGACTTCAGGAAGCCGTTTTTGCTGAATGATTCTAAACCTGGGAAACAAGATTGGTAAGTTGCGCACATAAATGAAGATTACAGTTGAGACTATCAGGGTCTGCATGCCACTGACAGATTATCTCCCTAAATCTCAAATTCAAAACTGAATAGCCTAGACAGGAAGAGCAACCGAGATAGTCGTAAAATCCAGGGAACTAATTGTTTCAGAAACTTCGAATCACATATTGTACTATGTCATTAGACATATAAATATTATGCATTTTATATAGAGCAAAGAAAACGGTGACTAGGTTACCTTGAAATACAAAAGACGGATTCGGTTGATTTGCCTGCTTGAGGAGATGTTCATGCAGAAGTTTTGAAAAAATGCAGCAACAAACATGCATGCTCCCAAAACGGCAAACCATTTTACAGAACCGTATATGCTTTCCGCTACAATTGATGGTGCAGTGAATTCATTCACAACACCACTAAATATAAATATGTTTAGGGGAACTGCTGTGCCAACTGCTGCTGCAAAAATAGTCCCCGCGACTATGGCAAGTATATCTTTCTTATCTGCATATCGAAACTAAACAAAGTATATCACAAATAATTTTGACTGGTTACCAGCTGAAAAAATGATATTTTTGGATATTCACTGGGGGCACTAAAGACTATAAATAAATCATCCTACGATTACCTTTTAGCAATGGTTTTCCCTTTGCGACATCTCATGGTTACAATCAAATAGGAGTTTGATGTAATACGCCTTCTTTAGGGTAGCTAAACAAATATTTTCGTGAAGGAGTAGTTCGTTCAATATTCAATGTACTTCCGCTTGGCAGTATAAGTTAAATTAAGTACTCTAGTCCAGATATTCGACGGTTTTATGTGACGTCACTTGACCAAGCTCACATTCGGATTCATACTTCGGTTGGGGACAGGTGTCAAACCTAGGTCAACCCTTTCCTAGAGTGTATCTGCGCTTGTACAACGTCTTCTTGAAGTAGTTGAATGATGATGTTCATACCATTTCCTCCAGGATTTGGTTCCAGGAGTTGCCTACTCGGATGGATAACCAGTACTCCACCCATAAAGTTCCCCCATGACTTTGTGCTCTCTAGCTATGTTATCTGAGATGTTTCAGTCAGATGAGAGAGAAAAGAGAAGACAGACATAGTCTTTAATCCTTCCTCGAAATTTTTGGCACTATGATCAGATATCCTCCTTGCCCACGTTATGGTAAGGAGAAAATTCAGGCCACAACATATGACTTTATCTAAATCTGTGGGCCTGAAACGAAGAGGATGATGCAACATCCATGTAAAATGCTATAACACTTGCGTGTCCATTATACTTGGCTTTGCACTGTTTTACTTTGGTGGAGACTGTCCATTACCTAGACTTAACTGAGCGATTAATGAAATCCGTTTACGATGTAGGCTTATCGCTGTTATGCGCACACGATACACATAAAATAGGACCAAGCACAGTGCATTGAGCCACGGCGCTGAGTACGGTCCCCCTGGTAAAAAGTCTCGAGTTGACCCTCAGTCTCTCTCTTAGCTGCTGTGAATTCCCTTATCTATTTAAGCAGATTGCCGTTGATACTAAAAGCTATCCAATTTCATGAAGTCTCCTTTTTCAAATGCTTTGGAGAAACCTATAAATGCAACTTCGATGTTTGACCTATCATCCCCGGACCTCATTCAGCATTTTACTGATCAAGGTGCCAATAAGGTTAATTGGTGTAAAGTGCGAAAAGTAGGCATTGGTCCTACCTTGTGAATAGGGGCTGCTATTTTATCCTCCCGAACTCGCGGTAACTTCGTGTGATAGGGATAGTCTATTATGTTATTCAGTAGGTTCCTGGTGGGCTGCCAGTAATACAGAGGCTGAAAACCACAAGGTTCTGTTCATTTCCATGTTCAGTCTACTTTGTATAGCCATACAACGTCCTGGTGCGGTTGCAGACTCATCCTCCGGACTGAGTCTGTGTCAGTAATCAGTTGGATTCCCCATAATATGACTTCTTACTAGGTTTCGTGTGCAGATATTTTTCTCTTTGGTTTGATCATTGCATTCTGAAATAGATCTGTCTCAGGTTAGCTTTGTTTCTAGATGTTATATACAACTTTTAGGCTTACACAAGTTCCAACACTCCTGCTTACATTTAGTCAGTTCACAAATTCCTCTTTAAACCCATGAGATGGGAAACGTTATCGAGGTTTGCGAACAATCCACGAATTAAAAGGTCTGATAAGTCGGGGTTATCATTGTAACACAGAATTTGCACGCAGCTTAAGCGGCCTGACACAGGTGCTGTGTTGTTTTGTAAATTAACTGCATTGTTGTTGGTTTCAGGGGCTATTCATGATTGTGTAGTGGTTATTAGGGCCGTGATTTCTTAACGATCCATACTGTTATAATTACGTCAAAGTTATGCTTCATTTTGGCCCTTGTACCCGCCACAAACCAGTGTTCGCAGACTATACAGTTTCTGACTTTTACCATCCTAAAATTCTCAATAATAAGGCTTTTCTCTCCGCAATAGCGCCGTTTATCAAATTACAGTATAACCGACTGTCAATTGTTACCACCTGCTAAACATAGGTTTGTGCACCCGTAAACATTGATCACCTGACTATATGAACATCGCAAAGATCTGCGTATCTCCCAGCCTGACAACCCCTGAAGTGTTTTGGCTTTCAAAGGATTAGGTTTGTCACAGCCGGGATTTTCCAACAAGGTTGAGTCAGTGATGCCAGTGGTCTTAACAGTCGTGCACCTAGTGACGCCGTTCCAGAGCACTTGATTCTTCTCTCTGGATGGAGGACTTTGGCTGTTGGAAATCTCTGCGTTAAATATTACGAGGCATTTTTCGGTCTTTAAAAGCAAAAACATTGTGGCAGTGACGATACTGGATACCTGTGTAATACCTGTTATCCTGTTCTCCATTTTCATGAAAATCACACGGCTTTATTGTTAGTTGCAAATAATCCAGGGTAGTATTCTCTACATAGCGACACTTTTGCACATATTCGCCAATTGTAGCGTTGTATTCCGTTGCCATGGTGGTTTAATTATAAGCCATATTTTTGGCGTTCTTTTCAGGTAAAAGTTTGCGTTGGAAATGTTTTCTGGAGTACAATTATCGATAGCATTCTATTCTACAGCCACCTTACACTTGATGCCCCTTAGTCAGTAGATGTCAGTCTGTCTGTCTATTTACAACATGGAACTTTGCACCGATGTGCAGCATTTCGAGTCGCCACACTCCATGAAGCACACAAAGCAAAAGAAGAAAGTCGAAGAAAATCAAAATAGAGACAGTAGACAAAACGAATAGTAATAACCAAGAACAATATAGTTCTCTAAACAATTTTACTGCTATCCCGAATAAATTTCGGATGAATTTCAGTATAAAAGGCCAGAAACATATAATAAGTTTCTGTGAGCTCCATGAACTAGAATTGTATTTGATTATGCAAAATCTAAAAAATATACAACTCCAACTGATATTACTCTGGTCCTTTTCAACTACAAATAGACTTATCAGGCCACAAATGTAAAGGCCTCTTCAGACTTTAGCAAGTATACGCTTTATTTGTTGAAGTTATTTTGTACTTTACGTGGATTGATTTACATTGGTTCGAAATACTTAGTCTGTGCTGTCATGTCAGCTCCTAGTACGGAGGCTTTGACGATACACTAATTGTCTTCTATATTATTTTCAGGTCTCAGTGTCCATACTTTGTACTTTCCTTATCTTCTGTAACAGCGACTTTCTACTGAACTCAATATTGATGGCTAGATACAACTTACTTCTTCTTGTTCTAGGAATCTGACCATAGGAACTTAAATTTAAGTTTCTCATTTATTAATTTCTATAAAAATGTTCGTCGCTATTGGGGCTAAAAATGGTTTATGACTGACTGACTGGTTTCAACGTAGAACTTTGCACAGATGTGCAGCAGTTCAAGTTTCCACTCTCCTTCCATGTAGCACACAAAACAAGAGAAGAGATTAAAAAGAAATGCAAAATAGAGACAGTAAACAGAGATATGATGCAAAAAGAATAGTAATAACGAAGAGAAATACAGCCTTATTGGATATTATAAATCACAAGGAGTGGATTAATCTGCGCTGTCATTGAGAACAATTTTCAGCCATATGATCCATTGTCTCCAATCACTGGTTTTTACCATCCCGAAGACCCAAATCAGGAAGTTTACACCTCCCTACATGGCTTACAATAACCAACAAAGATTTCGTTGACTGACAAAGCCATGTTTAGGTTAGGCCACCACTGGTTCTTGAATCTTTATCTTGAGAAAGATAATAATGATCGCCTAGACAGATCAGGCTTCTACCTTTAAACATATACCATTCAGTCAGCCTATTGCTGAGATGCCACCACGTGGGCTCTGCATAGATTTATGGGGCATCTTATAAATTAACATGCTTTCCTTCGTCGTATCTTCGAATATCACTTAACAATGTCTCATCTCATTCATTTTCTAATAACGTCTTCCCTTGCTCATTATATTCCACTAAACCTAAAATTTTATAGCTCTTTATAAATTTGATTCGATTTATTTTATTCCTATTCTCTATAGGGTACTGTTGTGCACCAAATACACAAAAAGGTATGAGATAAAAACGACCGGCTTGTGGATAATTGTATTAAACCAAAAGTGGACTCATGGTAGTAAGACCTATATGGGTAGCATTACACATTGCAAATGAACTTTGTCAGCCTAGGGATTATAGTCTCCCATTATATTTCCTTTGTGAATGCATCTATTAATGATACATTGCATTTACCTATTTCATTACACTTTAATGTGCGTTGGTGGCACAGTGGTTAGGACTCTCACCGACCATGCACATGGTCCGGGGTTCGATCCCCTGCCGACGCACACCCGATATCTATGGTCGGCCTGTAAAATTTGGGCTACCGATATCCATGCTGAAAATTCCATACTTGTACTGAAAGTACGGTGTGGCATCAAGCTGTAATCAAAAAAATAAATAAATGATTCACCTTAGCACCTTTACTTTTCTAAAACAGCTTACTATCCTTTGTAAACGTTGTACTTACCTCAATATTGGTTGGTTATCGTATGCCTACAACCACGGGTTGAAAACGAAACGAAGTCGATTTTCCCGCTTAACCTGGAGGACTACTGTTTAATTCAATAATGATAGGACATGGGTCAGACTATGAGTGCATTTATATATATCAAATATTTAGCTGTTCAAACATTATTAACTTGTAGACAATCTACTATTTGACATTATATCATGATCGTGCCTGTAAAAATGGCATGCATTTTCATGTAAATTTATGTTTATATGAAAATATAAATTATTATTATCATTAACCTGATCCATCCCATGTCAGCTAACATTGCCCGTCGAGGAATGTGATGGCTAGGCATAAGGCACAATCGATGTAGTTTCACAGCCTCGTCTATTGATTGCCCCTCCTTACCTAGCGCTTGACGCCTAATCAACTCAATATTACTCACCCTATTATACCATCTTACACAGGAAATAGAATGCAGACACCTATGATCAAAGACAGCTAGTCTTTTCATGTCTTACACTTTCAATGGTCAGGTCTCACAGCTAGCCATAAAGGAGGATGGAGTAGACTGCTGAGCAGTACACACGCCCTTTGGTCGATAGCCGGCTATCACGTCTACGCCAGGGACGGTGTAAACTGTCATGTG